ATAGTGAGATAAAATATTAAACTAACACGACATTGGTAAGTCAGCTCTAAACTCACCATACTGTCCAAGCCAGACTCCAAGAGTATTGCGTCAAAAGCATAGTTTTTCCTATTATACTGAGCTAATATGATCTGGGATTGCAAACTCCTAAAGTACTTGGGAATCAATGGGCACATTGCCGAGAGTGAGAAGCCCCTACAAGAACAAGAGCCCCTATGCTGCATTGCCAGTGCCTAAGATGCCACACATGCCATCAACCACTACCACTTGGCTAAAAGTTGGGACTCGGAAATCTTACTAGGGAGCTTCCAGTAAATGACTCCCATTCCGAAACATGAAACCCCGTAGCTATGTTCAAACACGAGTCCCTCAGATTACAACACAGCATAGCTTTTAACGTATTTATATCCCAGCAGATGCTTTTGAGCTAACGAACAAATCACTCCTATTACCGAGTTACTTGATTTTTTTAACCTTTTCACCCAATATTCTGTGTTAGTCCTTCTCATCAACATGGCTTCATGACAAGTGATATAACCCCAGATTGTGTTGTATATTCTACTGAAATAATGGGATAGAAGTGGTATATCCAGCCCAGCGCTTTTTCACAATTCCCGGGAAACCGTAGTGCCACAAGAGTCAGAAATGCTGACCCACAGCAACACATACCCAACTCTAGCTGAAGATGTGATATGTTCTAACTGGTTAATTAAACAGATGAAAATTCATGGGGAAAAAAGTATACTTGAAACTGCGAGCTGTGCCAACACGGATGACTGCATGTGCTGCATCCATTGCAAGACAGCAAGCCGGGGAATTTTGATTAGGGATAAAACAAGACAGACACATACATAGCGAAGCTGCTACAGCACAATGGTCACGTCTTTACATCTGTGGCTCGGATAGCAAGCTTATTTCATCAAGCTTTACTTCAAACCAGTAAATGACAAAGATAGGAGTTACGGTTCTCCTCACATATGACTAATCTTGTACAAAGAACAGCTTTTTGCAGGATTGCATGGATTTCTCCCATTTAACTAGGGTGGAGACTGCAGGATTTTTGCATACAAATAGATTTGCAAATGCATTATGGACTGTCCACTATTTGGTCTGCTAGAGTGACTGTATAAAATACGGCAAAGCATGTTTTCTGATTTTATATAAAGCTATAGTAACCAAATTATCCAGATCCCTTACAAATACTGGGCTTTGAGTCACACTTCCACTATTTCCTAAATACTGTGTTTGACATCAGTTACTGCTACTTTGGAAATGCCAGGATGTTATCACATCCAGGAAAAAGAAATACTTGAGAAACACTCTTAAAACGAGGTAAATTCTATCTTTCATAAAGATCAAAGAGGCTACCCAGGATAATATAATTGCAGCACCTACATCTCTCCTATCTACAATTCTGTGTTAGTCTGTCTCTCTACTGGCTCACTAAATTACACTGGTGTAATCAAGCTCCAAGTTAGTATTTGCCTACTACCATACCCTGTATGAGAAGCAGTCCTGACCTGGTAGACACCCTCAGAATGAACTAGACAATGCAATTTGTTTTAATTTGGTAGTTGGAGTCATGAACATTTTATCATTTTCCTTGGTGCTTTCATTACAGTGGTAAGAAACAATGAGAGAATTCACAACCATGGGAGTTTGCACTCTTGAAGTCTAACAAGTAAAATGTTTGCCTTATTATTTCAAGGGAATCTACTTCTATTATAACTGCACTTTCATTAAACCTGAAAAAAATGGAAGATATTTTAAAGTAAAGACTGAGTAAAAACTTGAAGTGAAAACAGATGGCATGTTCCCTACAGCCTTTTACTAGCGGATTAGATGTGCACCTTAACAGGAAATAATATATACAAATATATGTGAGTATAAACCTTATTTATAATCCCTATTTACCTCCATAAGTTCTATTAAATTATGATAATGAACAAAACTAGCACATGCTCACAGTATTTCTATTAAAATTTTTCATCTGGTTGTGTATCTCAATCTTGAACAATAAGAACTCTTTGATTTTTAAAACTTTTCTTACGATTATTTAGAATAATTATCTGGGCAATGTAAGAAGAACTGGATGGAAATGAATGACTTTATACTAACCTTCCTTGGTTATATAACTTAATTTAAACACAAAAGGCACCTACATACTTTACTGTTACCATTCAGAAGCTCACAGTCCCCACAGGAATAATGAAATGGCAGTATGGCAATATACAAAAACTATCTTTCTACTCTAAAAAAAAGGAAACAATTAAATGTCTCTGCCCCCCTGAAACCTCATAATTTATCCAACGCTATCAAAGAAATGGTTTCACATTTCACATATGTTCAAAAAGGTAAGCCTGGCTTTTTCCAGTGTCACTGATTGAGTCATTCAAACAGACCTCAAATACTTCTAGACATCCTCTCAGGACATGGTCACTCGCAATCTTCATGAGCCTTTTGTCACTTTGTGGTCTCCACCATCGTACATCCGTAAAGACTGAGAAGGAACACAACTTTTGGCAGTCTTACAAGTATCTATCTGAAGGCTATGAGATGGTTTAACACAGAGGCAGTCACCCAGAGCGGGCAGGCAGCAGGCAGCTTAGCAGGGCAACACAGTCAGCCCACACGTGGGATTATCTGTCCTGGGACTGTTGGGCAGCTGTGCTGGATGCTGGACACATCGCCTCTTCCGTGGTGCTATCTTTGGCAGATGAGGTGAGATGGGGCAAATGGCATCGCTGAGTACCAGCAAAATAAACGCACCGCAGGGAGGAGTCAACTGTAAGGTAAATATATTTCCAGGATCATCACCCTGCCCGTGCACAACAGCCTAGCAGCATGACAAGAAAAGGGGTTCAGGAAAGGGGTTGCAGCACCAACCTCTCCTCCAAGGCTGAAAGAAGGTAAGTGGTCAACCGACCAGGAGAACTGAGTATCATTTTATTGCTAAATCTTAACACATTAACTGTATTTCTCATCCATTGATTTAAGCACATGATTAAAAACCCAAATCACATTTGCCTAACCTGATTTTTTTCCCCCTTTATGTTATCTGGTGAAATGTATTTTCAGTGTTCTGTTCTGTTCTTAAGCTGTTCTCACGTAAGAACATGGTAAATCCACACTAGAAAGCAACTTATGCTTCTCAAGCAACAAATAAAACCCAGAAACAAAACAAAAACAGCTACCAGAAGGATGTCAGCAAGTTGATGGAAACCCTTGAAAAGTGATAAAAGGAATTATGGCATTTAAATAATGAGGAGAAAACGAACCCAAGCATGTGTGCAAACTTAGCACTTGGCAAAATTATGAGTAAGGAGGAACAGAAGTACTCCAAGAGCCCTGACACCAAGCAGCAGTTTAACCACGCATCTCTGACACTATCTCCTGTGCCAGCTGACAGAGGCTATCCTGCTTCTTCCTTTTCAACATAGTGGCTTTGTTTGTTTTTTCTTTCTCATTTATTCCAAGATCTGCCTGAAGTGAACAAATTCCTCCTTATCTCTTACAGACAGGTAGGGGTAATATAGCTTCTACAGTACATTCTCATCTTCTGCATAGGGATGGGAAAAAAAAAAAAGCCTCTGCACTGCCTAAATTTTGGATCACTGAATAGTTTCAGACTCCACTTGCTGCATTTCTGGGTGATCTGGCAACATCTAAAAAGAGATGCCCTATGAAAATGTGGATGTATAACTGTGTCTCATTCCTTCTGTAGGACTTGTCAATGTTTTCTCATAGCAGATCTGTATAAAAGAGGGCCTGGATTTCATCCAGACAATTATATGGAGCACATACCAGCATGTCACTGAGACTTCATGCAGGAGACAAGACTCCTGAATAACAAGTTAGGTGCTCTCTTCCTTAGTTAGGTCTGAAAAACTAATTTGATATTAAAATTTGCCATAAGAACAGGAGCCTTTGAAAGAGTTTGAAAGCTCTATGTACGGGCTGTGTTCTGCTTTAAATACCATTCTGGTTCTGAATAGGTGACCACAATGTTTTCGCTATGCGAGATAGTGCATGACATTTATTCTTCTTGCTGTGTAACTTTGCAAAGAACAAAATTGAGCTGAACATTTAATCCTGTCTATCTAACTCATTAAAGACCAATTCAGGTGTTGAATACTATATACTTAATCCCATGGGACTTATAAAAATATCAGTGTAGCTGACAGATAATGACAGTTTTCTTCCTGATAGTTTCCTCTAAATAGAAATAGAAACAGTCACATTAACACAGCTGGGATCAGAGGCATGCTCATGTTTCTAGGCTGTGCTATAAGGATTAATAAATGTCATTTGAAGTACTGCTTAATAATGAAGTAAGCAGGTTGTCCAATAAACATCAGTTAACATTTACTCATCTGTATATTCAAAACAAATTGGATCTTTGCAAGTTCTAGATAACCTTTCAAACAACCAAGAATCTACAGAAGGGGGGTGTTGAATCGGTTAATTCCCTGTTTCCTTGACCGTCCTTCTGCCATTCACAATATGTCAATATTAGATCACCAGGCCATAACCTGGAGCAAACCGAGCAGTTTCCCCCCCCCAAAAATGGAAAAGCGCAGAGGGTCATACATCAGGGATTCAAACATCACAGTCCAATATAAGGAAGTCAGAACAGATGTGGCCATGGCCCATCCCACAGCATGCATTAGCAAGCTGGGAGAGGGATACCTTCTGAATTTCGTTGTAAATGTTGATTCTCTGCTAACCCTGCACCATGTTTCACTACCAGTTCTTTCAACCTGTTCTTCTTCAGGTCCCAGCTTTATAGTAAACTGATGGGCTTATATCAATTCAAAACATACTTCACTTTTAGATTTCAGAATATTTACAGACTTACAGTAAGCAGTCACAGAGTTTATAGTAAATCCTTTTAGGCATGGATTGCATCGTAAAATATGTTTGTGAAGCTTCCAGGACCATGAAGTCACATGCCCAGTTCCAAAGCCCTACTCATAGGAAGAGCTGTCACAAACACTTACCTTTGCAAACAAAGCACTTAATATGGAAATATTTGTTCTGAACTCTCAAAACTTCTCCTTTGCATGGGTTTCCACAGTTATTGCAGAGAATTGCAGTACTTGATGGCTTCTCCAGTTGGCTATGTACAGCCTGTGGTTGTGAAACTGCAAGGCAAAACAAAAGGTAGAGAATTTTAAAGGCCATCAGATGCATCAATGAAATAAAACCATTTTCTTTAAAACCTACAAATAAAGACAATTAACATCTGAGACAAAACAGGTCAAGCGGATCAAACAGTTTTAACTTTTGGTACTGGCCAGCACAGGAGAAAGGATCTGCTAAAGGAGCTGAGCCAAGCTTCTAATTTCATAACTTCCAAAGCTCATGCCTGCAAACATTTAAAACATAAATCAGAATTGCTTAAAGGGGAAAGAATCCACACGAATAAATCTTAGGAGCCTCCACCTGAATTTCAAAAAATGCTTTGTTGCATTTTCTCTTCAAGAAATCAAAGACTATACATAAAAGCTATTGTTTTTATCCAAAATACTTTTAATGGGATTTAGTAACTATTACACTGTAAGCTACTGATACTTAAAGTTCAAGGTAATTGCCTTTTTAATTGATTTTAAGATTGAAATAGACTTCTTTAGATGTTTTGACTTAATACTTCTGAAACATTGACATCTCTGTGAATACTACATACATCTGATCATTAAACAAAGGTTGCTGACATTTTGTAAGAAAACCATGATTTCAAGAGATTAGTTTAGTAAAATATTAAGTGAATTAAAAATTTGCTGCCATCTTGTGATGTAAATTAGAAACTGCATTTATTGTGCTGTTGATAATAACAATATAAATTGGCATCCTGATGTGTTAAGTGAAACAGGTGAGATATGACCTTATTCTTGCAATTCTGCTGCCGTACTTGTATCAATTTTTTTATCACAGTGTACGTAGGAATCTAGAGAGGTAACATCAAGGCAGTTAATTATGAAGAGGCTATACTATAACTCAATAGACTTGGCTTTTTTCCTGTCTGAAGAAGGACTAATTATAGGAAAATATATCAAACGTTTTATGTAAATTACATTCTAAATGACACTTTTCTTCTGTAAAGTGGCATGCTTACTCTAAGGTTGGATTGCTTATTTCAAAGTCTTTGATTTTTTTTAAATTTTAGCTTCAAAATAAACTTACCAACCAATCAGCCAAGATGGAACAATCTCTCATAGGCCACTACACTATGTATGAATGGGAATCAGATGTGTTTGCCCTCAGTGTTTAGTTGAGGGATAACACCAGTGCTATATAAGCCTTGTCTTTCATGAACATTCAAAAAAATAATTGGGAAGTAACTTTTTGTATGGGACTACTGCAACACAATGAACACATTTATAAAGGGCTGGGTTAAACTCAAATTGGCCAAGATCTTTAGTTTCTATTCCTATCGTAGTATCAGAGTTGCTATTTCAGAAAAAAAGGCTTCTGAAAGAAAAAAAAAAAGAGAAAACTCACAAAATTTATTCTAATTTAAAAAAAACACCACCCAACAACAACAAAACAACAGTAATGTCTATACCTTCACCATAGGTAGGGATGATATACAGAGGCAGTGATGGTACTGTCACTATGAACACACATGATAACAGACAATACTGAAATCAGTAAGCAAACGTCATCCAGCTCTTGTTTTCTAATATCCAACCTTGCTGCTCTTCTTCCTTTATTCTCACCCTCATCCCTATCGCCAGAACCCAGTGGTGACACCTAAAAGGCCTTTCCACATCCACCAACTTTGACTCAGTATTTCAGTGAGAGGCTGAGCCTCCCCACCAGGTCTTCCAGGTGAGTTTCTCTAAGTTTTGCCTAAACTGGCACTTTCTACTCCTATAAGTAAAGTGTTTTGTTTTCTTTTGTTTTTTTTCCCAAGGAGACACAAGAGATTGAGCTGCCCGTAGCATTATTCACCACTCATTTGTGTTCTGCCTTGTCTGTTAAAATTATGCATTCTGGGATTGTCAAAAAAGACCTGCCCAAGGCAATGTGAACTCTGGGAGCTATTACTGAAGCCCTGACTATAATTAAGTACATCTCCAATAAAAACAACACAGCATGACAGGTAATTAGAAGTTTATAGAAAGGTGCTCAAACTTACACAGGGCAAATGGCATGTATAGTTCAAGCTAAGATGAACGTCTGCCTTATTCCTCAAAAGGAAACTCTGAACTTTGCAATACTTAACTTTTGACATGAGAATTTCTCTGTACTGTAACCTGCCCAAAACAAACTGTCCACCCTGAAAAAGAATCAACCCTGTAAGAAACCAAAACAGAGTATTCTCCTGAGCTACTTAGCAAAGTAGCTGCTAGAAGTTTATAACTATGGATAAAGAAAGTTCGCTCCTTCCAGAATTACAAACAAGCATCAAATCTGTAGCATTTTATTCACAGCAGACTTGACTTAAGAAAGAGCAGACCACATCCAGAACATTTTGGCCTAAAAACTTACATTTGAAATACAAAATTCTGATTGGAATGATTAAATATTTGACTTTTTTTTTTAAAAAACACTTGACTCTTCCCATGTCTAAGGCTTTCCGAGCAGCATCTCTCCAGAGGCATCAGCATCTGGCCGGTGAGGAGGCACACAGACATCTGCAACCCCATGCCATGTGTGTCCCATGGGCCGGGCAGTAACCTGGACAAGGAGCCCCAGCCACAGTGTCGGGTATGTGATGGAGGGACCCAGATGCGCCATCAGAGAGTCCCGAGGGCGGCCTTCCATGCCAAACATACCCCCCTTCCCTAAAGAAACACCTCCAGCGAAAACTTTATTTTTCTGTTTGTTTTCTTTCACCTGGGAGTTCAATGCCACAGTCATTGCAAAGCAACAGAAAATGGAAAATTATTGCAATTTGTTTTGTGCATTGTGAAACAATTGTGAAAATTGTTGACAACTGAAAATTGTTGCAAAGTGACAGAAGCCAGAAAGTTTTGCTTTCCACATTGCATGTGATGCTCAGTGTCCTGAGCTAAGGGCAGGACTATTTAGTGCATCCGCCTCTCTTCAGGTCTCTGGATCAAGAGTTACAACTTTTAAAAAACCCACAATTTAGCTATAAAATACATTAGAAAGGAAAAGATGTAGTATTTCTGTTGGAATTCTTTCATTAATCTTGAAGTAATACAAATCATATTTAAAATATGCATAGTAGATGAATAACTCTCTTGCTTTCCTCTCAGTTCAGAACTAAGCTAATCAATATTTCACACAAAACTCCAGTGGGAATACATTGCCTTTCGGCTCATTATAAAATTATGCTTCTGAAGACAGTTTTAAATACTTATTCATTCATCTAGCACAACAAAATGATGTAATTAATGATATATTAGTTTAAGTTTGAATATTTTAAAATATAGTGTGCTTTATGTTGAAATTGCAACTACTGGCACAATTTTGGCAAACTAACTATATTAGTCAATTTAAAATTTCAGCTTATGTTTCAAATAATTTTTAAGGAAATACGTTTACATGGCAATTTTCAGCATTCTGCTTTTATGCCTTTATGTCTTTGAAGCAGCGGAAGATACAATCAACATATTTAATGAGTAAAATAGCGAATTACTGATAGAATGTAATGATCTGAGACTGCTCATAGGATCACAACTGCCTAAAGAGCTCATTAAAAATTAAATGCTTACAGTATACCTCGATCTGTAGGATTTAATGAAACAAAAATTTTCCTTCTTAACTTTAAATGACTTTTTCTCAACAGAAATACAAATGAATGCCTGATTCTCCAAACTTCCCTTCTCCCAGACTGCATTTTGCTCTACCAGAGGTATCTCTATCAATCCTTAAACCTTAAAAAGATCTGACTGCACGTACTTTTTGACAAGGACAAAAACTGGCAAGAAAGGAATTAGCAAATTTCATCAGCGCACAAGACCTTTCTGCTGGGGACGGCACTGCCAATAACCTTGCCAAACGTCCAGTGCTCACGTATTTCTGATGTCAAGACTCAACCTCTCTCCAACAGGCTATCCAGTACATAATGCTGTAGTTCTGGACAAAGTAGGGCTTATTGAATTAGCAACGGTTTGTCAAACAAATTGTCAAGTAAGATACGTGCCTCAGATTTACTTCTATACTGTTTGCTTGAGACATACACACTTGCTTTAAGTATCTCAGGGAAGAGAGGACAGTGGTAGCGCTCGTTATTAACCTTATGGCAACTGTAGAACGATGCTTTCAAAGTGCTTATAACTTTGCCAAACTTACACAGTTTATATTGACATTCTTCATGTTTAGTGCTCTTGAGCTCAATTCTTCAGCGAAAGCTTCAGACAAACTGTTTAAGCTTTTTATAAAGATGGAAAAAAAGGATAAGACAAAATATACTGGTTTTCAATGTTAAAAAGAAAGCGTATCACTTTGGTTTTGGAAGTACTTTGGAGTAAAGGCTGAAGCCTGACAGAGATGGACTTTGTAAAATGTACACTGGATCCATGAAAATTCACAATATGTGGTAAAAAAAAAAATCCCCCTCTGAATAAACACAGCTCCTTCAGCATTGCTAGACTAAGCAGTATTTAACAGCTATGGGGACCAGGATGAGGTGCCAGGATTGAGGGTGAGATTTGGCTGACCAAGAGTGTTTTGGAAACAGCTCAAGACAAGCTAACGGTGGTGGCAGAAGAAGAAGATTCACGAGACCCTGGTCATGCTCCGCTCCAGAGCCTGGGACAGAAAATGTCACCACGCTCTCGTCATCTCTCTGCTGTGAGCAAACTGCTGAGGGAAATCAAACCCTTGACAAACTCGTCTAGGACCAGTTCACGCAGAAGATGACAAACCCCTTTGTTATCAGGCTTCTGGTAGTCAAAAGAGAAAAATCTTCATGGTAGATTACAGATCTGAGGAAGAAACACATGGCCAGAAACTGTAGAATTCGACACAGTCCTAAGGCTTTTGTTTGGTGCCTTTTGTTTTAACTTAGCATAAAGACACGTAGAAGCTGTTACTGAGCTTAGAAATTAAGTACTGAAAAGTTAAGAAGGCTCGTGCTTAAGAATATACATTCAATCTTGGATCAAACCTCCAATAAGAAGCTTCAAGAGTTTCACCTGCTTTGTTCAATGTACGGACTCAAAAAAGGCCACGTATCCCATTTACTCCACATTATTTAACTCAGTTCTGAAAAAAGTTTTCATAGAATTTCTAGGTTGGAAAAGACCTTAGAGATCAGCCAGTCCAACCGTCCCTAATCCCCCACTAAACCATATCCCTAAACAGTTCATCCACCCTTTTCTTAAACACATCCAGGGATGGGGACTCAACCACCTCCCCGAGCAGCCTATTCCAGTGGCTGACAACTCTTTCAGAGAAGAAATTCTTTCTAACATCCAACCTGAACCTCTCCTGACTAAGCTTATACCCATTTCCTCTTGTCAGTTTATTAGGTTTACTGCTTTTGGGGACTACAGAAGCCTGAAATGACAAAGGGCCAAATGACACAATTTAATATTAGAATCATAGAATGGTTTGGGTTGAAAGGGACCTTAAAGATCATCTAGTTCCAACTCCACTGCCCTAGGCAGCAACACCTTCTACTAGATCAGGTTGCTCAAAGCCTCATCCAACCTGGCCTTGAACATTTCCAGGGATGGGGCAGCCACAACTTCTCTGGGCAACCTGTTCCAGTGACTCACCACCCTTCCAGTAAAGAATTTCTTCCTAATATCTAATCTACATCTATGCTCTTTCAATTTAAAATTGTTACCCCTCATCCCATCACTAGACCAAGAGTCCCTCCCGAACTTTCTTGTAGGCCCCCTGTAAGTACTGGAAGGCTGCTACAAGGTTTTTCTGGAGCCTTCTCTTCTCCAGGCTACAATCCCAACTCTCTCAGCCTGTCCTCACAGGGGAGGTGCTCCAGCCCTCTGATCATCTTCATGGCCCTCCTCTGGACCTGCTCAGGCAGGTCCACATCTGTCTTACGCTGGGGGCCCCAGAGCTGAACACGAGGACTGACAGGTGCTTTCTGTCCTGTGATATTTCACACAGACATTTTAAAGAGTACTGTGAACTAAACGAAAGTGTAATTTGAACAGATAGACAACATTTATGCAAATAAATATTTTAGTCCTAAATAACAAGTTTTGATAATTCTCCAGATTACGTCTCAATACAGAAAGTGCTAATTCCTCTCCAAGGTTTCTGGATAGATAGTGCAGAACCAGAGTCTAAATATAATGGCAAAAGGAAAACCAAAGGGACTGAGAGGTGGTTCCCTCCTCTGTTCTTTTTGTGTTTTGTTTTGGATTTTTCATCCTGTTCTCCAGGTTGGGTTAAAAAAGTGGAAGCCTTTCATTTCAGGCTCATACAAATATAATATCATTTGACTTCAACAACAACACTCCATCAACAGAAAAGCTCCATCAATTTTCTTTAGCAACTCTCAGCACTGCTGGCTCCTCTATAAATTCACCAGGAACATCTCTCTTCACAACCCATTACATTCGCTTCATGAGATGGAAACATTTTGCTGGAGCAAAACGACATTAATATCTAAAATTATCTATATCAGCTGTTTAGTTCATAAAAGACACAGGCCACATTCCAACTCTGAACCAAAAATGCACAGCTCTGGTAACGGATATTATTCTGCGTGAAGGAATTAGCAGAAAATTATCTCTGTGTTGACACCGAGACCTTTCATCTCTATAGCTAGAGGTGGTGACTGAAAATCAAAATAAACAGATACGAGACCTAAATGCCAATTACTCACAAAGTATTTGAAAAACGGGACAAAGTATTGATTGCTGAAATGCTGTATCCAGCGATCTGGGGAGGATGTGGTTCACAGCAACCTGAAGGGGAATTAAATTTGCAATCTTCTCTGAGCAGGATTACAAGGGAAGCAGCTGAGCGCAGCAGCACCCGACCAGAATCACAGATTGGAGTTCGAGTTGTTTTTTTGCCAAACTCTGCTTGTGTCACCTCGGTCAAAACACTCGGGGTTAGATTTGAAAACACCCAGATGAAAGCAAAAAAAACAAGCATTTAAGGGCCTCTGAATATTCCATGAGCATTATTCCTGGTTTGAAGTGCCTAAAGCTGGTCTCATCCCTCCCTGCCTTGTGCCTGCGTGTAAAACTCAGTGACGAGGAGTTCTTCCAGCGCTGGCATGAGGGTAAGGATAACACAGTAATAACTAATATGGTAATACATACAGTGTTCAGAGAACTACATGTTCTGTGTAAATGTACTACAGATATAGATAACTCTAGAGCTATAAATTTACTTTAGATAAGGGGCTTTGGTTTCTTTTCTTTTTCCTAAGAACTGGTATTCCATTATGGAGCCTTGTGGGGGCCTGAGACCTCGATGGTCTTTTCCATGGAAAGGATGAGAAAAAAAGTGATTGTGAAACAAGGAGTCCAGCAGCTTTCCCCATCCATCCTTCCGACCATGCTCAGCAGGGGGGAAGAGCAATTCCCTGGCCCCAGCCCTGCCCAGCCATGCACCCTGCTGCTCCAGGCACCAGGACTGGAGGGAGCACACGTACCCAAAGGGACGGGCACCAAACGTGCCCGAGCAGCAGATATGTTAGAAACAGATGTTCTGCAACAGCACGTGAAGTATCTCGTAGTAACCTGTTTCACCGTATTTCTCAATTAGCAGCTTGTGTCAAAAGCAGTTTCAAACATGTTTGCACACCTTTTAAGGTGCCTTGTCGTTATAATGCAGTACCTTTTTATTCCATGCATCTCACAACAAAGCAGAAGACCACAAGGATAGAGGGAAAGCTAAAGAAGTTTTGCCTTGAATGTCCACATTACGCAGTCCCTCGAGCCCCACAGGTGGCCATGGAGAGGGTTGACCTGTCCCAGACCTGCACACCATGAGCTCGCTCGCTTCCCCAACGGGGTTTCCTGCACCAAGTCGGTCCAGCTGCCCCCCAGAAACACTCACTGCTCTTCCCAAGACCTCCACTGTACCTCTTGTAGTAAAGCACAAGTACTGCTCCTCTCTCTAGTTCCTATACTGTAAGATAGGCAATTCAGAAAAATTCAATAACTTTTTACATCAACAGGTCTCTACTTAATTGAATTCATTCATGTAGTCCAAAAATACAAAGTAACACGGTTCAAGAATCACATTCCTTTGTGCAATGTATACCTGCTTCTACTCCTCATAAACAACAGCTTTCATAGTGCCTTTCCATTGGCACTGAGAAAAGGATTGCTTGCCTTTTCCAGCACTACCTATGGATCATAATCAAACCAGAAACCCATATCCGATATGTGAGAGCAGGCAGACAGCACAACTGAAGCAATCTGTGCTTTTACTGCTAATTACAGAGTTTATGGGGTCAGAGACGAAGGAGAGGTGTTATCCAGAAGAACGTGAATAGAACCATACAGAAGACATGCAACACAGCACAAGCACCCAGCACACGAGAGCTCCAAATCTCACCATCTGCTCAGTGCAAAATTCGTGTCACAAATGAGCCTAACATAAGCTAACCTCCTGCCCTCGTTATTACAATAAAATATTTACCAAATCCAAAGGCAGTTAGTAAAAATCTCTGCTGAATTTTAGGAACCATTTCTGCAGCAATGTAAAGGCTATTTTTGCACTGGTTTAGCACGATTACAATGAGAAAGGAGATATATATCTGCATAAAGCAATAGGTATTTTTTTCATTACAAGCTAATATAAACTCTAAAGTCAATTTAAATTAAATAAAATGATGAAAGTTTTCAAACTGAGCTGTCAGCTAAGCATCAGTATCATTATAATTTCCAAACCATCACTCATATAATCAAAAAGAATATGAAGCATTATTTGAAATCAATGTTTAACCATCTTTCTCCGCCCTGCTGCATTTCCACCTAAACACAGAATCATTATTCTCATGACAGTATCACTGATTTCCTTACTGCAGCTCCAGCTGAAAAACAACTCATTTCAGGTCTAGGCTCACCAAAACGTGGAGTCATCACACCATACCTGTATCTTCCGGCATTCCCGCATTAATTCCCTCCGAGAGGGGAAAGGCCACCAGAAGCAGGGCTACTGCACGGCCGGCCGGCGGCGAGGAGCCCCGTGGGAGCTGTGGGAGCGCGGGAGCCACGGCA